CAAATACCCATGTCATTGGCCTAATAACATATCGCAGTAAAAGCGTCGAAAACTGGGCAGCAATCAAACGTATTCATATCAAATCCGCCTCCACACTAACATCCAAAGATGCCTATCATCTTTATCGCGCACGACTTTGACCTGATCTGCACCGTCACACCGTTTTCACCTGCAGCTGGCCCGAGTAATTGGCGATTCGTGGAAGAGCCCGGCCAGTTCTGGCGAACCACTCGCCATTCCTGGCACGGAACTCCCAGCACCACGCCGTGCTCCTTCGCAACATTTGCTAGACGCGCCGCCGCCATGGAAAAACCGCGTCTTGCGAGCTGCATCGTACCGTTATCGGATTGTAATCGTACCGTTATCGCATTGTAATCGGATTGTAATTGAGAGTAAGCGGCGCGTAGGCGGATGCAACGCTGGGCTGACCAGCTGTCGACGCATCCGGCTGGGAGCATCACTCAGATGCCGGACATTCTAAGAGCGACTGGTCAGCACAACGATGACATGGACAGATTCATATTATGTAAATGGTGCCGTGATGCAACCAATGTGGAGACGGATTTGAGTCGTTGCTCCTCTCATCCGTTTTTAACCGCGCTCCTTGTTCTTCACAGGGAACACCGGACGACTGTTGTGGGCGGCCCTTGCCGGTCGTTGTATCGAGAATGTCAACAAGCTGTTGTCCAGGGGTAAACCAGAGATGACTAGGTCCATTTCGATATCCTGGGATTGCTGAGCACCAGTTATTTTGCAATGAAGAGAGAAACATCGACTTTGTTTTCATGTATTTACATAATGACATCAGTCCGAACAAATTGCTAGCACGTTCCGGTCCCCGATGTTTGGAGTTGGACTTGTTAGCAAAGTCTGTTTCTGAAACTTTTTTTTTAATCAGCAGCCACGTATTACAAAAAAAAAAATGTAACTTCATACTGACTACGCCATAACGCCGGTTACAGGCCAATTTGCCGAGCTGCGTTTTACCAAATGCTTATTCGTCGAATGTCAATATGTCGAATGCATTTTGCCGACGTGTCTTTTTGCTGACATGTCAAAAGGGCGAAGTGCTAAAAGTCGAAATGCCGACATGGCTTTTTGCCAACGTGCAAAAAAGTCGAAATGTCAATTTGGTGAAATGCTTATTTGCCGAAATGTCAATTAATCGAAAAGCCAATTAGTCGAAACGTCAATGCCCCGAAATGCTAATTCGTCGAAATGCTAATAAATCGAAATGTACATTTCCCGAATTGTCAATTAGTCGAAATGTCAATTTGCCGAAATGCTAATGGAAAGTTTACATTTCGACTAATCGACATTTCGACTAATAGCAAATTCGGCAGATTGACATTTCGGCAAATTTACATCTCGACTAAATGACGTTTCGGCAAATCGCATTTCGGTAAATTTACATTTCGGCTAATAAGCATTTCGGCAAATTGGCATTTCGGCAACAAGGCTGTCGGCAAATTGCATCTCGACTTTGAGCATTTTGACCTTTTGACACGTCAGCAAAGAGCACATCGGCAAAATGACGTTCGGCGAAATGCATTCGGCAAAATAACATTCGGCAAATCACCTTTAGACAATTTTTTCGGACACCACTTATAGACCTCAATGTTTCAAATTCTCAGATATTATTTTCGATTTAACCCTATTAGTGGCAGACTCCTGATACCCCTATTAGTGGCAGGGGGGGGGCTGTTTACGACCCCCCTTGATATCTCGAGATCTAACGGGCCGATTTTCAAAATTCAAACGGCATTTGATTTCGCTCAACGTGATCTACATTTAAAAAAAAAAATCAATAGGGGGTAGAGGGGGGTAAAAACGGGCATATTGCAGATGGTGTCCGGACAAATTGCCGAAAGGCGATTTGCCGAATGTCATTTTGCCGAATGCATTTCGCCGAATGTCATTTTGCCGATGTGCTTTTTGCCGACGTGTCAAAAAGTCGAAATGCTAAATGTCGAAATGCTATTTGCCGACATGCCTTTTTGCCGACGTGCAAAAAGTCGAAATGACAACTTGCCGAAATGTCAATTTACCGAAATGCTTATTCGCCGAAATGCAAATCTGCCGAAATGCGATTTGCCGAAATGTCGATTAGTCGAAATGTAAATTTGCCGAAAGGTCAATTTGCCGAATTGGCAATTTGCCGAAATGTCGATTAGCCGAAATGTCAGTTTGCCGAAATGTCAATTTGCCGAAATGTCGATTAGTCGAAATGTAAATTTGCCGAAACGTCAATTTGCCGAAATGTAAATTTGCCGAAATGTAAATTTGTCGAAATGTCAATCTGCCGAATAGGCAATTTGCCGAAATGCTATTTTGTCGAAACGCCAATTTTACGAAATTTCAACTTTCCAAAATGCTAATTGGTCGAAATGTCAAACAATGAATTGATTTTTAACGGAGCCTTACCGTCCTTGAGCTATTCAGAGGGGTGTTCACGGGCACCGCACACTGCTGCGTGCGGTGTGTGCGGTACGTCCAGCAGGCGTGGGGGTAGGGGATGGGTAGGCGGCTCTGACGTCACGGCTGCGTGCGGTGGACGGTCCGCTGCGGACAGTCCCGACCGGCCACAGCGGTCGCTGTGTGCGGTGACGGAAGGCTGACGTAGGGACGCAGTGGACGGAGCTTGGAGGCTGTGTGCGGTCCGCAGAGGCGGATCCAGCTCAGAGTTTTGGGGGGGGATCATAACAATTTATCGATTCTTTCCATGCATCGTCCATAGGCGTAATGTAAAATCATGCCGTTGGGGGGGGGCAAATGCCCATTTTGCCCCACCCCTGGATCCGCCACTGGCGGTCCGACCGCACGCAGGGCCCGTGAACAGCCCTCGGGGAGCCGGCGGACGACGATGGATCCGGGAGGCCGGCGGGCGGAGGCGGATCAGTGGAGCCGCAGACGGAGGTCGAAAGTGTCGTGCGGCGGCGAGTTGTTCTCGCGATGGGCATTACGCGCCGAGCAGGCGTGCCGCTTGTGAGTGACGGTGCGGTAGGATGGTGTTTTGCGTGTTAACAGTTTTTGCTTTGTGAGCGTCATGTTTTTGTGTAAAGGGGGCGGGGTGTGGTACGTATCATGAGCCGTCCCCCCTCCGGCAGGGACTGGGATCGCCCATGCCTGGGTCGGAGCAGAGGCCGTAAACGCGCAAGCGTGCGCCGGCACGGCGGACGGAGAGCGTGGAGAGCCGGCACGGGAAAGTCCCGCGCCGGGTGTGACCGATATCGGGCGTTATGTGAAGCGCCGCATCACCAGAACAGATTATGCTGTTCTCGGCCGGACTGTGGTCAGGAGTCGCCGGCCGATCAGTGCGAGAGTACGACTACGGACAGAAAGAATGACGTCTTCTGCCACTCTTCAGATTCATCATGCATAAAGCTGGCGATTCCAATGAATTGCTGATTACCATACCCGAGCCTCAATTTGACAGAAATAGCCATTTAAAAGTTAGGTAATAAGGTACTAATTGGTACTCAGTATGTACCTATAGTTTTACCGGTTTTACCATAGCCTTGGTTTTACCTATGTTTTAGGGCCTTGGTTTTGCCCAACACCGCTCAGCGAGACGCACAGAGCCACCTATTTTATCCAATCACTGATAACTGTTTTTAGCGACAGGTGGCAGCAGGCAGTAACACTGCAACATGTTTTCTGAAAGAAGCAAATCTTTTGTGGTAGTTTGCTCAGAAGCATATTATGTCAAGAAAAAAGCAATAAAATTTATGTACACTTTTATATATGCTAACAATACAGTGGACTTGTTTCAAGCAAGCTCATTAATTGATGCCATATTAAATAAAGTGTTAGAAAGGCGCCAAAGATTGTTTACGTACAATGCGGGCGGCATTAACCCTCGCCCGCACATGGGGGGGGGTGGTTGCCACCCCCCCCCCCAGGCAGTCTTTCTGCTCTGCACTCAACATTTTTAGAGCTAGAAGGCTGATTTTTCGTATAGCTGCTCGTCTATTCATTCTTGATGTCCACTGAAAATTTCAAGTTTCTGTGATTTTTGGTTTCGGAGATATGACCTTGTTTTTCAGGTCATGTCATGACCCAAATGGCCAATTCTCAACATCTTGCGTTTGCCATGGGCCTTGTGAGCTTTTGACACCCTGATTTCGGCCTTTTTTGCCAGTCTTACCTCCCACCTATCATGGAACATGTTGTTCGACGATGTACAGGGGTCAAGGTCAGGGTCAAGGTCAACCTAGGTCATCTAAGATAATTGCGTTTTAGGCAAGCTGAATTTACTTTTTGTGAAGTTTTTTGACTGCATTTTTGGTAAAAGCTTCTCAGATCATGATTTCATGTGATATGGACCCAAAAACAATCGGTGCACACATCAGTATACACACAGACACACACAGACATACAAACACATATAATTGACCTTGACCTAACTTGACCTGAAATGACCTCAGCAGCAAAATTCTGGTCGGATAGTGTGACAAAGAGGTTCTAGCTGGCTTGGCACCAGAAAACAGCATCGTCATCGGTATTTGATAAGCAGCGCACTTGATATCCAACGGTGACCCAAAACAGCAACCTTTTTTAGTTTGACCTGACCTGGAAGGTCAATGACTGACCTGAGAAGGTAAAACTGGGTATCATTGGATTCGTCTCTTCCCAAAGAATCTTTTTTGTCTTTACTGCTAAGCTCTATCTCCAACAGGAACGAAATGGCGCGGGGGGGGGTGGCAACCACCCCCCCCCCCCCCATGTGCGTTCTAGGATGGGAAAATGGCATGTGCGGGCGAGGGTTAATGGCGCAGATCGTGTGCAAGGTGGGGAGCTTGTGGGAGCGCTGTGGTCGATCGGGATTGCGTGGATTGCTTCCTCTTTAAATCACCCCAGCCAGGGTATATACCCCAGCAGTGGTAAGGCATGGAGTGGATAGGAGGAACCCGGCGGGGGCGACTTGTGCACGAAGGTTATTTCTACAACATAGACAAAGTAGCAAATGGAAACACTTACGTGAGGTGCAGCGCCCGATTTCGCCTCAAATGTAAAGGCAGGGGCATTTGCTCAGACGGGGGCGGCTTCCAACTCACGGCATCACACAATCACGCGCCAAATGCTGAATCAATTGAGCGCACGGCAGCAAGAGCCAGCCTGAAGGAGAGGGCGCAGGAGACGACGGAAGCCCCTGCGCGGATCAGGATGGCCGTCGAAGGAAACATGAGCCGGGCTGCACGCACCGGCATGCCTGCTGCCCCACAAGTCAACAGGTAAGCCTTCTTATCCAGCTCGTAAATGTAGCAAAATGGTGCACTCGTATATTATATCTATTTAGCAGATGCTGTCCTATTTTTTTTTTGCAGATTCTTTCCCCTGTCCCCCCCCCCCATCTATGTTCTCTTATATCTCAGCAGGTTCATGGCAAGCTTATATCAATATTGATGGCCCCTGCTTCTGTCCTCTAAATTGGAATCAAACCCTACCTATCCATATGGTGTCTTGTAGTTTGGCCATTTACAAATTTGAATCCCTAGAAATGCTACTTAAAAATTATATTCGATATTCTTTTTGCACGGGGAAAGATGCCTATTGCCTATGCAGTATGCATGCTGGCCGAGCTATTATCAATTACTTGTAACCCTCGCCGGCACAGAGGATGCACAGTTGATACACCCGAAGTTTTTTTTTTCGCGAATCTCGCGTAAAAAGCGGTTGATCGCAATGAAACTCTCAGTACCGTCTTGTTGATTAATTTTACACCTACCCTGAAAATTTCATGACCCTGACCCAAATGACCTTTGACCTGTGGCCTACTTTCCGAGACCATGTTTGGCCAGAATCTCGATTCGGCGATGTCGGCTCGCACTAGCCGCGCGTTTGCAGTCTTTTCGTGGTTTCAAGCATTCAAACATGTGGTTTGATGCTGCTCCCATGCATAAGGGCGGATGTCAACAGTCAAGGTCACATGAAGGTCAGGTCAGGTCATTGACCTTTGATGGCCTCGGTCCACTTTTTCGAGTTTTACATGTTTTTAGGCTAGTTTTTGGAGTTGAATTCGAATTTAGCAACCATTTGAACATTTAGGTACGAAGTAGTTTTGATGCCTTCGTAACATGTTATGAAGCTCTCGGGGGCGGTTGAGACGTGCTACGATTTACGAATATCCGGCAGGACCCCTAATGGTTGACCTGACCTGATCTGACCCGACCTGGCCTAAATGCATAAAGACTTCATCTGTTATCAAAACTAGCATGATATTCGTAATCAGCACCCCGAAAAAAACCGTCGCAGCCACTCTACGACGTTTTAACAGGTCCCGATTTCCCCGACTTTTGGGCTATTGACCTGACCTAGAAGGTCAACCGATTACCTAGGACCTTAAAGTTGGGTATCATCGGTTTCCTCTTGTCACGGGCAAGACGTTTGTTATTTTCCGCTGAAGCTCTAGCTCGATCAGGGGGGTTGTACCCCCCCCCCGCCCTTGTGCCGTCGAAGGACGCAAAATGGCCTGTGCCGGTGAAAGTGTGTACAGGTCTCGCGGGTTTTAAGCGTAGGTTTTGCCTTTCCGGCTATATCTTTTTCGTCTTCAGCTTTGTAGGCTTGAAGATGTGACCGATTTATTCGTATAACTCCCTTTCATGATCATGGAAAAAGGTTTGATCGTATGCCGGCTAGTTTCGGAGAAATTAAAAGAAAACCTCAAAATTCGCTGTTTGGGGCATTCTGACCGCGGCTTCCCTGCAGTCGCCTATGACTACAGTGGCGCCACCCGACGAGTAGGACGCTGAAACACAGAGGCATGAATGAATCCAGCGCGTGCTGAAGGGTGGATAGAGGCGGGACTCGGCAGAGGCTATCACTGCGGCCCGCGCAGGGCGTCCTTGGACAGCGGGCGAGCCTTCGGGCGGCGAGGCCAGAGGTCACGACAGCCAGGCTGTGTTTGGCATGAAGGGAGGGGAGGCGCTCGCCTCAGCCAACTCGGCGGGTTTGGTGGTAGTGGTGGTGGTGTGGGGGGGGGGGGGGGCGGCAGGCGAGAGGGGCTAGAACGAACGGGATAAAATAGAATGGAAATGTCGTGGCTCGTGCCATGGTCAAGTTACAATATTGTTTACCTTATAATCATGTATTAACATTACGAAAGAACCCACCATATTAAATTGAGAAACATGCCTACAGGAAATGTTATTTTTCGATGTTACCGCTTACTTTTAATGGAAACCCTACTTCTTATTATAGGGGTGATAAAATGAGCCCCTCCGCTCGGTTTTTCCTGAATAACTCGCGTAAATAGTGGCGGATAACAGCGAAGCTTTCAGGGCCGTAAGTTATTTTTCTCACCATAAGTAAATAATACCCATGCGGTCAGGAGTCAGGATAAGTTCAGGCCATCTGCAATTAAAAGTTTACACCTACCCTGAAAATTTCATGACCCAGACCAAAATGACCTTTGGTCTGTGGCCAGTTTTTAGAGTCCATTACAGGCCAGAATGAGCATTCGGCGTGTCGGGTCTCATTAACCGTTCGTTTCCAGACTTGTGATTAGAAACGTCCCAACATTTGAAATTGTGTTTGGTCCCTTCACCTTTTGTCTTTTTGGCCGGGACCAGCGCAGGAACTTGGCCGGTGCCTTCAGGGCTGCTTAACTACAAATTTGCCGATCTGCGGAGCGCATGGAGCCGATCTAGCCAGGTTGAAAACCACTAGGAATGACATTGCGGCACAGCTAATATTCAAGATTTCCGCGCCCCTAGAATATCTGCTTTTTAGCTGCCGGTTTCCGGTCACATGGCCTAAAGGCGAGGTCACTAGCGATGGAAATGAAAACACGTTGAACAGGCTAGTGAGAAGGATTCACGTTCATTTTAAATCCGTGCATTGTCGCTTGATACCTATACCGACCGTCTTCTAAAGGGGCTAATTTCTCTCTCTCTCTCTCTCTCTCTCTCTCTCTCTCTCTCTCTCTCTCTCTCTCTCTCTCTCTCTCTCTCTCTCTCTCTCTCTCTCTCTCTCTCTCTCTCTCTCTCTCGCTCTCTCTCTCTCTCTCTCTCTCTCTCTCTCTCTCTCTCTCTCTCTCTCTCTCTCTCTCTCTTATACCGAAAGCTCCATAAAAGCTAACGACAAAAACTTCAAGACAGGTCTAGACCCTTCCGACTATTGCGTCATTAAACTGACTTGGAAGGTCAACGTATGACCTATGGTCAACGAATGACCTATGATCTATAAATTGGGTATTATCGGCTTCCTCTCGTCACGTGCAACATGCTCCTTCTTTTCAAGAAGCTCTAGTTTGATCAAAAGCCGATTAACTGTGGGGTCTGATCCATCCCCGTCCAAACGTTAGCGCCTGCGAAAACGCCGATATGGTTGCGAGTTATGGCATATTCCTATATAAACAATGTTATGTTCTGCTTTTTTAGTGGCTCACTTCGATTTTGTTCTAAAAAATAACGCAAAAAATCAGCTTACAGTGATGTTACTTAAACTCTTACGCCTGGTTTCCTTTTAGTACCTAATACTGCAATTTCATTCACGCAACATATTTATTGGTAGTTTCGTGAAAAAGTTTTGGAAATATAGTGCAGCAGAAAACAAAACTTTGCTGTGGAACGACCTCCAGCCTCAGCAAGTCACGGTTAACCCTCACCCCGTTGGGGGGGGGGCAATATAGCCCCCTGTGTATTTTCCTGAATAGCAAAACAAAAAAAACGGCGGCGCGCAGCCCCGCCAAATTTTCAGTAGTTTGCCGGGAATCAATTTGACACCTTCACACAAAATCACAAGCCTTACCTTGCCTTGCCTTAGGTCAGGAGCTATTGAGGTCAAACTGAGGTCATGTTCGAGCAAAAATGAGCAAAAAACACGAAATCTTGAAACGCTCATAAAATCTACAGTTAAAGGGACCCTCCCACCTTAACATTAGTTTTGAGTTGAGATAGCCAAATTGGTGGCCATGGCCTGCAAATACCGGTTTGGGCACTCACAACATCGAAAAATGCTTTAATTCGAAGATATGGAATTTCAAACTTGCAGTTTTCGGATTCTAAGGGGCTAATGCATTGGAATGTCCCCTTAGAATTTGTGACGTCAGCGGAGATCTAACGATTTTTAAATCTTAGACTAAAACCATCGTTAACACGTGGTGGTATACGCTGCTTTGCGCGCAGCGTCTGCCGCACTTTAAGGCTGCCAAATTATTGCTTCCAAATAAAGTCGCTAGTAACAGGGGAGATCCCAAAAAGTAAACAAAAGTAAAAGCCTAATATCTTGAAAACTAGTGAATATTTTTCGGTGAAATTTGGTAGATATTCGTTTTCGCTCTTTCTGAACCAAGGGACATCACTTTCATGCCAATTCATTAACCTTTTTGAAGGTGGGAGGGTCCCTTTAACAAGCAATTTCAAAGTTCTCTATCTGGTCGTGTAAAGGAAAGACGGTGCTACAAAACTGCAATCTGGGATTTTCAAATTTTTGAGATTTTGACCCCCAAATAAAAAATTGGTCTGTTATAAAATAGCAAAAAAGCTTGTAGAGTTAAAAAACGGAATGCATATAATAGCCCCTGCTTTCTTCAATCAACATCACAAATTGTAGATCGATACCTCCTTTTTTGGCCAAGTTTTAGCAAAAAAAAAGTTCCAAATTGATGAAGTCAATTTTTAAGTCAGTTTTTAGCAATTCTAGAACACGTAGCGCAAAACAAAGACCACCAATAGCCTTCCCGTGACGAGCTGCATCGAATCGATACCCATTTTATGCAAAAATATCAAATAAGAAATTTGGCCAAATTTGACCAAAACCAGGGCCTCGGCTAACATGTTAACTGGTGGGCCAAATGGCCCACCAGTGACCCGAAATGGCCCACCAGCCTCAAAGATTTGGCCCACCAGTAATTTTCCGAAAAATCTAAGTTTTCATATTTTTCACATTTCAAATTGAATTAGCAGATCTTATCGTACATTTTCAGGCTGTAAAGTACCCATCGGTGAAACATATTCATGTGAAAAAAAAATCAACCTATTGTTTGCAATATCCTCTTAGGGTAAAAAGTGAGCTATAGTGGACTAAGTGGACTAAGCCTCGGTCACACTTCACCGGATTGAACCAATGGACGAGAAACGGACGGCGTCCGGTGATGTCCGGGGGATGTCCGTTCGTTTCCGTTGGACGTCCGTTTCTCATCCGTTCATATCCGTTCCATGTCCGGTGGTGTCCGGTGTGCTCAACCGGACACCACCGGACATGGAACGGTTATTAACGGATGACAAACGGA